TCAACTTGAAAGACTAACTCTCACAATCTTAGAGTTACTTGGATATCATCCCGCACTGTGACATCTGCCTATGCAGCAGAATTTTGATGCTGGTACTGCATACAAAACATCAGGAGAACACAACAAACTTGCAGAAGCTGCTTGCTAAAAATGACAGAGAAGTAGTTCAGGTGCTCCTGCAGCTTATGGGCTGCTTGCATCTGATGGACCAAGTCTATCTGCCGCCTTCTCCTCGGGAACACAGCCAGCTTACAGTGGCTGAGGATGTTGATTTGGTTTAGGAAGCGGGTAAACCAGCAGGTGCTTTTCTCCTCTTGCACCTCTCTTCCTCCTTTGGAAGCTTCTGCATTCTGGCAATGTCAGCTGGAAGGGTGGTCGCTCACCCTGCTATCACCTCCAGGTAGGCAGTGTGCAGCTGTCCCAGCAACTCGGTAGCTGGTGTTAGAGCAAGGTTTTAGATTAATTACCCTTGCAAACACAGAGCTGCTTCTGCACTGAATGACAGTGGCCTTTCTGAGCTCTGGTTTGACTCAGGGCACAAGCAGCTCATTAACCATCAGATGATTCAGCACTTGGTGCCTACATTTCTGCTGGCTGGTTTTCATCAGCAGACTACAGCTTTGAAGATGTATCATTTATATGATACCATCAGACACCTGACGAGACACAGGTGTCAAGGCCCTCCAGCTCCAAGCCAGTACTAGTTTTCTGTGATGCAGATTGCTCTTCAATTTTCCTCTTCACTATGCAGCTTTATAATCACATTCCCCACAAAAATCCTGACTATAACAGTAAGCAGCTTTTTTTCTCCAGCTCTTTTAGAAAGAAATCATGCACAGAAAAGAGAGAGGTCAAAAAAAATCTCAGGTCACAGAGAGAGAACGACTGAGGTCCTGAGCAGAGGGAGGATGATCTCCACATTTCAGGCTCAGAAGAAAGAAGAATTCTTGTCCCACCAAAGCTAACCATGCACAAAATACTGTCAGATGCAGTCCTTCCCCACCCCCAACCATCTCTTCTGATTTACTCATGGCTACTAATCTCATTAGAGTTCCTATAATTAAAGCACCATAAAATCTGATGAAGAATACAGTGCGTTGTTTAAATTAACTCACCCAAAGTCTTTTACTGTAAGAATGACTACTCCAACAGAGTTACAAGATGTACAAAATAAAGCATCACTAATGAGCACAGCATCAAAACTGGATTATCAAGTTTCCCTATTTGCATGCAGAAAAAGCAGGCACAGAGGTTTCTATAAAACTTTTCCGGCTATTTTATAGGAAAAGTGAAATGCTCCCTCTTACATAAAAATACAAGCAGCCCAGAGTGATTTGGTAGTGAATCACTTTTTAAGGAAACCTCGGTATGCACAGTTTCTGCAATAATCTGGGTTTGGTGCCACGTTTAATGAAGAGAAAGATGGGAAGTGAAGGAAGTGAAGGAGATACAGATTTAATATTACACCTGTGAGATTAAGTGTCCTGGTTCTTGCTTCCCTGTCAGAAATTTGTATCCTGGATGACAGAGTGCAGAAACCCACAGCTTCCAGCTGAATGGGAAATGGTTCTTCCACATTTTTGATCCCAACCCCACTCAACAGATACCTGAGAGTCCATGGAGGGAGAACACTGGCCTTTCAGACAATCACGCTCTTCAACCTCATCCATTAAGCATAACAAACAACAGCTCTGGGCTGCATCAATTCCTGGAGACAGGGCTTGCTGGGACCTGACTGAGGCTCTGTGGGATCCACAAAAGATCCTGAGCGCCACACAACCTCTTCCACGACAACCCATTACCCATACCTATCAATTACCATATCATCAATTTCTATGAGTCCAAACATATGGTCACAGAATATTTTTTGTGAATGGCAGATCAACTGGTCATATTCAGACCCTGAAGAGCCCCAGGTGCTCTGTGACTGTCAGGATGTGAGACAGAATAGCTAAATTGAGGCAGAAGCAACATTACCTGATTTCCCAAAGTCAGGCTCCAGATCAGCCTGGGCATTCCAGGCTCACCTGCTAAGCTTCTGCTCCAGTCACTAAATCTTTGAAAGGGATTATGCAGCAAGGTGCCAGTGATAAGACTGGATTTGACCTCTAAGGACCTTCAGATGTTACCCTCATTTTCCAGCATGATGAGCAACAACGCTGCAGTTGGAGTATTTTCATCTGGCATTCCTTTTAAGAATGCCGAAAACTTCAGTTGATTTTCTTATCTATAAAGGGCTTGAAGGCAGAAGTTCTGATGCTCCTATATATTTGCATAGAAGAAAGCAGGGTGCATTAACAGAGTTTTTACTTTGCTACTCCATTAAACATAATTTTAGGAATCACAATGAAGCTATCATGAAGAATACAGCTTTCTTCAGTGAGAGAACACACACAGACATCAAAGGCTACACAAATTATTTTAAGTGTTATACTTCTGCCAATATATTCCACATTTTCAGCATGACAGACCACTCCTCCAGAGATGCAGAGTCAGCCAGGGCAGAGACTACTATTTCTCTGACAAGAAAACCAGATCTAAACTATTCAAAATGCTGCTTGACTTTTTTTTCTTCCAATTGTTTTTTGTTTGTTTTCAATTTTAGGTACATTCTTAAATCAGGCTGATCATATCCAAAAGTAAGTTTTGAAAAAAAATAGCTTTTCAGCATTTATACCTTTTGAGCTTCTCACAAATTTTCTTTTTAATATCCTACAAAAAATGCAGTCTCAAAGATGAACGGTAACTTGATTTCTAACCTATACTGGCTTTTCACTCATCCTTCCCAGAAATTCTTCTAATATAACTGACACGGAGATGCCTCTCTCTCTCCCCAGGATGACTCACAGGGTCCTTCCACAGCACAAAGGAAAGAGAGATCACTTCTTGTTCTTCGTGAAGAAATATCGCTTTCTTGTCCTTTTCAAAAAGGAAGATAAGGGAAGAACACATTGGACTGTTATTTATTGCATTTTGTTTCACTTTTCCCTAACAAATCTATCAAGCAGCTAGAATTCTGCCTGGTCATAAAAGCATCTGTAACAATACGCCCACAAAAGTGCTCTGTGAATCTCACTCCTCAAGACCAGTATCCCTGCCCCACCTCTGAAGTACCACAGTTAAGTACCCACATGGCTATGCTCCATACGGGTACCTTTCACCAGCTGCTGGGAACAGCTTTGCAGGTGCTTAGCAATAGTAGTGGCTTCCTCGAAGGGCATCCCTGCATACACATCCAACACCTGGCCAGTGCTTAACTCACTGCATAGCACATCTACCTGCTTCCTAAGCCAGCCAGCTATTTCAGCCACCAAGCTGCTGCTTCCTTCTCCAAGAGTTCAGCCTAAACCAGGCAGAAGAGTTCTTCAGTATGGCTTTAGATACCAGATCATGTAAGTTCCATTATATCACTGTAAACTGCAGGCACCTGCAGAACATGGGGAAGATCACCCTGACATCAAAACACTTGTCAATTTCCAGCTTAAATCAAAGTCAATACTCTGACATATGACCTCAGTGGCAGATATCAAAGCAGCACAAATGTGCATTGATAACATAATCTAAGAACTTAGTGAGAATTTGCAGTCTGCTACGTATGTACAAATCAAATCATTCTGTGCATGAAGTCTCAAGAAGGCTTATTAAGTGTTCCTGAGTTTCAGTGTTACAGGAAAACACACAAAACATTAACTCTGACCATCCGTTCCATCAGTCCCAAGTAAAGCCCTTCGCTATTATCTAAACATATCGAAACAAGATCATAAAAATGCTACTGAGTTTACTAGTAGCCAAAACAAATGCTACCAGTACCAGCAAATGCTGCATAGGCTACGAAGGCCCAGAGAGGAGCAACTTGCACTTCACGTGCAATTTCCAAGCAGTGAAATGTACTCTGGTCAGAAGAGGCCTGTCAACTATTAATGGATTGCAGGGGTAGCTGTATTCACTCATTCCTTCCCTACACGTACAGCCCAGCAGGAGCACAAACTGCCCCAGCACAGCACCAAGCCCCAAATAGGTGAAAAAATTCATTCCACCAACAAACTAGCACATTTCCACCAGGCACATCCTAAAAGCTTCTGCTGAATAAAAGCATAAAGGTGGTAAGCAAAGGGTTTAGTTTATTTTGTTTTTCCCACATACACCATACTTCTCTCATTGTTTTTCGTGTTTAGGGTATGACTACACTAACAACAGAAACACACAAATAGTCAGCAGTGCTAAACTAACTACAGAAAACATTAGCAAAGACAGAGCTTAGTTATCAAGCTGCTGATTTCAGTTTGAAACACCACTTCTGACTGACAAAACAGTGATGAACATGTAAACACTCTACATGCCAGCTATCTGCCAGGATGAGCAGTTGCCAGCCCAGGATGGAAGAGATGTGTTTTCAATTTTTTCCTCCAAATAAGTTATTGTTTATTGTTGTTAGCTGCAATTGTTCACCAACAGCCACACACACTATTTTAAGCTAGCATAACTGGCGCAACACCAAACGCGATGTGTCCTGCGAGGAGCAGGCAGCAGCGGCACCAAGGGCCCGAACACAAAGCGGGAGCGGGCAAAACCACGGCTCCGGGAGTCGCTTCGGAGGCGGCTGCCAATGCTCTCAAACTCCGCTCCTTATCACTCCTTGGCCGCCTCTTAAAAGAAAACTGGTGCCGCCGGTCAGGTAACAGCAAGAGTCTGAGACTGCAAAGCGAAAATTCTTATAAACACGGCAAGAGCCTAAAAACGCGCTAGCGACCAGCCCGACCAGCCGCGTACCAACGCGCAGAGCAGCGCTTCGGGAACGGGAGGTCGCTGAATCCGCAGCTCGCACGCAGGTGGCGGCCGAACACGTTCCGTGCGGGACGGGCAAGGCTCCCTCTCCCTCTGCCCCTCACGGCCCAGCCCGGCTCGCCGGGCCCAGCGCAGCGCTCGGCCCGCCGGGCTGCCCGACCCGCAGCGGCCACAGCCCCCCACAGCACACCCCGGCAGCGCCCGCTGGGAAGTACCTGGGAGCTGAGGTACCGCCGGAGGCACTCCTCGCACACCGCCTTCTTGCAGCAGGACAGGGGCTTGATGGGCTTCTCCTCCAGGCACACGCGGCAGCTCAGCACCAGCAGCGGCCCGAACTCGCCCGCGATCAGCCCGGAGAAGGGCTCGGGCAGCAGGTACAAGTCCACCACCTCGATGCTGCCGCCCGACGACAGCGGGTCGTCGCCCGACACCACCCCGCGCCGCGCGGGGGGCTGCCCCACGCCCGGGCCGCCGCGGGGGGAGCCGGGGGCCGCCACCGGCCGGTCATTCTCCACGCAGTAGACGGTGCAGTACACGTGCCGCCGGGGGGGGCGGCGGCGGCCGCTGCCTCCCTCCGGCCCCTCCTCCGCCGGGGCTGCCGGCTCCCCGGAGCCCGGCGGCTGCTCCGGCCCGGCCGCCGCCTCCGCCTCCTCTTCGGCTCCTCGCCGCTCCGGGCCGGCGGCGCCCGGGACCGCCTCTCGCGGCGAAGGCGGCTCGTCCGGGCCGGGCTCCCGCGGGTCCCCGACCGGGCTCGGCGGCGCGGCGTCCGCCCGCGGGGTGCTCAGCGAGCTCTGCTGCTCCCCCATCGCCGCCCACCGCCGCTCCTTCCCATCCAGCCGCCTCCCGGCCCCGCTTCTGCTTCCGGGTCCCGAGCCCCGCTGCGCGACGCAGCTGCTCGGCTGCGCCCCTCATTCAGCCGTAAACACTGCGTGGCTGCTCGCACGCCAGCGCCCGGCATCGGCACCGCGAGGCGTTGTCCTGATCCCCGGGTTCCCTCCGCCGTGTGCCGGTACCTGCGGCCCGACCGAAGAGTAGTGTCCTCTGAGTAAATGGTGCGCGTCCGATTAAAAATCATTCCCGAAGGAAAAAAAATGTGGTGAGCATCATGAACTCCACTGTGAGAGCCACGCACTAACATCAAGGCATGAGTGACAGTCACAAAAGTAATTGAAGCTGTTAGCAACGGGAGTATCCACACAGGTCCAAAAAGGTGTTTGTTTCTTCAGGTACTGAGGGGGATGAGGGGGATGTGTGCCCATTCTGCTCCAGAGTTGGCCAATATGCCAGTGCCTCTGCTTGAAGATGGTATCTCCGGGCCTTGACGTCATCATTTACATCGTCACATAGGGAAGATGTCATGGAACTGATGCTGCAGCAACTGAGTACCTTAACATGAATTGTGCAGTTTCCATCCCGAACTTCGTGTTACTCAGAGGTTAATTAGATGCTCTGCTTGAGAGGACATGGTGTTTGGCTTAACTAGACTGAGAGGAGGAGGTCTGCAAGTCTGGAGATGACAGGGACATCATAGTTGTCTGCATGTCATCCCCTCAACCCCCGTGAGCTCATGATCTCAGGCTCATGCAGGGAGCAGCTCTGTGCGTTTGCCTGGCTCTCTGTTTGAGCTCAGCAGTGCAGCTGCTCAGCCGCAGCATCCCAGAGTGCAGGGCATGGAGGGCACTGTATACAGCCAGTCCAGCTTTTGGTTCCTGTGCGGCACTGGAGTACCTGTGCACTGTGGGAAGGAGCTGAGCCTCCCAGAAAGTCACACAGGGTGGCTGCTGACAGCTGGCAATGGAGGACCACAGGCTCTGTGTAGCAACTGGCAACAGCTGCAGGTTTGAGGGGCTCTTTGCCTTGAAAATGATGTATTTCTTGCAGACCCAATTAGATGTGAAAGTCAGTGGGTATGAATTTGTGCAATGTCAGACTATCATTACCGTTCCAGGAAAACAAAGTAGAGGAATTATTACTATTAAACAATAGGTATAACTTTTCTTAGTTGTTATGATCCCAAAGTTTACTTTGAAAATACAAAGTGTAGAACTTCTAGTGATTGAATAAACATTAGAATTTCCTACAGGCCTACTAAAGCACTTGGAACTTCAAGTAAAAGCTAGAAAGATAGCATCATTGCAAGAACCACAATGTTGCTCCACTGTTAATTCGGAAATGTGTGTGCTAAAGCACAGCAGGGGAAAAGAGTCCTTCAGGAATTCAGGATGACAATGATAATCATACTTAGCTGAGGGGAAGGATGAAGCAAATAGGAGTTACAGAATTGCCAGTGCCCTACTAGCCTATGGTCTAAGGACGGGTAGTTCAGTGGCCTGTGTCCAGCCATGGGTGCTGCTGGTTCTGACTGTGAAGCGTGAGCGCAGATGTGCCAGCCCAGCTGTTCCCAGGGTCCCCCATTCTGTCTGGGATTGTGGGATTGACCCTGGCCCTGGCCCTGGCTGGTGAGCAGCCCCCAAGTGGACTCTCCCACTCTTTGACAAACATATCAACAAAGTTTTTGCAACAAGTCTTTGCCATATTCTGTATATATTCGCTCAGGCATATTGAAAAAGTATGAAATTATACAGTGATAGACAGAAAAAATACAGGTTTGAGGTAAAATAACCTGACCTGCTCGTATGTACTGATGGCCTTTCCCACTGTGCCTTTACACAGACTCATATTTGAATGACATTAAGGGAGAATTTTCACAAAAAGACCACCCTAGCCTCCCACCAGCCCCCAACAATCTGACAAAATAAGTTTTTGTGTTGCATGGCCCTTGCTTATTCTGCAAGAGAGCTGGTGAGAGAAGGAGCAGTGAGTGCTGGCTCTGTTGCACTGCTGGTGGGTGCCTGGGTGCATGAAGCAGGAGTCCACACAGGGATGAATGTGTGGATCCCAAAGAGGCTGCACTGCTGCTGACAGGCTGCATGATGTGTCTTAGGCTGGCTGTTGCCCAGGTTTTGAGAAACCACGAGTCAGATTTGCATCCAGAATGAGTCTGTTGCTGAAACCTTCTTGGTTTAAAATGTGATTTTAGATCCACACATTTTACACTCTCTGCAGAGCATGTCTAGCCTTACGGAAGATATTAGAAAGGTAGCAGCACTGCTGGATTTGCATAAGATAACAGATTAAAATAAATGATCCTGCAGAGATAAACCTTTTTATCACCAAACTGTTTGGTTTACAAGAACTTCATTATGTTTGAGCACAGTTGTGTAGAACTGAGCTTAGTTGCTTGAAAAATCACTTTTCTCCCTGTGATGTACTGCCAAGTCAAACTCCACAGAGATTCACACATTTAAACTCTGCAAATGAAGTATGAAGAAGCAGCTGGCAGGGCATTAATTATTTTTGAGACATGCCTGGTTTTGGAAAGCTCTATCCAGTGTTGTCCACCAGAACTTAGATTTGCTTATCTTTGGGAACGTAGCAAATCCCATAATACTTTTCTTCTCTGTTGAATAAAATTAGAGGGTTTGGTTTGAAAAGGTATGTTTATGGCTGGTCCTTTTACTCATGCCTGATTTTAAAGTTCCACAGCTTAGAACCAGGGGAGACACTTGTATTTTCAAACAATGAAAGTAATTGACTGCCACTATTCTAGTAATGCCGAATTTGGGATTGTTTTGGGTTTTTTATTATTATTGTTATTAATTATTCACACTGAACAAAGAGGTTGTGATGGCTATTGCATCAATTAGTTGCATTTTTCCAAATTTGTAAAATTTTCTAGAGTAGTGCCTGAGAATTTCCACCCTTTTTTCCTCTTAGTTCCTTCTTTCCTACGTTCCTTTGTTTTCTTTAATCAAAGAGCAAAAGCTTACGTAAAATTTCAGCAATAGAAAGTACTGGGCTATGCAGCATAAGGGCAAACTGCAGAACTCATTGCTACACACAGTCACGAAAGCAGTTCTTTAATGAATTACAAAACTGATTATTTACTTTAAGCAATACAACAGAACTAAAGCAGTCCGTGCTCTTTGTGTCATATATCTATCTGTGTGTACACTTATATGTGAAAGGAGGATTTAATTTCCCAGGGCTGTAATTCCTGAGTCTTCTTGAAAATTACTTTTACTAAAAATAATTAATGTTTTTAGAATAAGTAATTAACATTCATTCTTCTGGGTTTATGCTGATAGCCTCTGAGGAAATGTGAAGCCTGCTTTTTCTATGTAGTAAGTAACTGGCAGTATGGTACTGGGTCATTGGGTGCAGAACTTACTTTTTGAGGGGGATTCTTTGGCTTCTGTTCATCTTGTGAGGTGGAAGATTCATGTATATTTTACAGAAAGTGTAGGTTAGAAAAAGGCATGCACTAGAATAATTTCTTATGAGCATCCTAATTAGATCAGGAAGAATGACTGTGTGCCTAGTGTAATTGTTACAGTATTTATTTTGAAAACAGTCTGTACCATTATTTTTATCTAGCACTATGGAAACAACCTTCAAAACATAACTGTGTATCTTACATATTGCTTAAACAGATCAAACCCTTTGTACTACCTATGGTACTTACTGCCCACATTTGGGCTAAGGAGAGAAAATGCTTTTCTAGAATTTATGGATCTTTCCAAACAGATCTTATCAATGTCTCAAGTCATATTTTGAAGGGCACTTAGAACCTTCATTGCTTCTCTTCTTTTGGAATTATTAATTCTACACACTTCTTAAAAGTCCTTTTTTACACTTGGAACACTGCTTTTATTTTCTTGTTTTTCTGCCTGCATCACTAATTTTTAGTATGTTTATGGTTATTCCTATGACATCTTCACTTCCTAAATTTGTCACAAAGATCTGTATTTAGCCTACAGCTTTGTAGAGAGACTCATGCCTGTCTTTGTCTTCTGGATATTGCTGAATCCAGCTTCCCACTGAAGGCTAGACCAACCAGAAACTTAAGCTGATGAAAATGGTTTCCCTCTCCTCATCACTCAAATCTTTTATTCTTCCAAGATTTTCTGACCACATTATGCCAGTTATATCACCTGGGTTCATAAATCAGGAATCACTTTCATCTTCAACAAATGCAAAGAACCACTTGAGTGAAACAGGAAACATACTTTCCGTAGAACAGGAGTGTATATTTTCAAGTTCTTGAGGTTAAAACTGAGAAACTGAGCTAGGAATCTCATGACCATGGCTTACTTTCCCAGGTGAGCTTATTCACTGTTAGTCCCAGAAGCACATCAGATTCAAGCTACACTCCATGTATCCCACAGTCACTGTTTTTTTTCCTTAACAACAGGCAACACCCAAATAATTTATCAGCATTAATCTGGAATGAAATGCCTCAATGCACGGCCTGGGTGCAATGCAGTCATTTTGGGTAAGCAGGAGTTATTTACCACCATGAGCAGTAGTACAGCCTTGAGACCATGCTAAATTACATCAGCCTTTTAAGACTCTCCCAAAAAAAGAATCCTTCATCACTGCATTATTTTTATTAGCATTTCTTTGAATTTATTTTTGTAGTAATAGTTGGCCACAGGATTACCTGACAACACCACAGTGAGAGTAAATTCTGCTGAAGGGCAAGTATATTTTATAGCTATTATTGCTTTGATTAACTATGCAGAGTGGCACACAAATAGAATGTTTTGTAAAATAAAGACTTAGCAGCTACGTTTTTGAAAATATTGTGAGTCATTCTCTGATGTGCAAATTGCTGTCTTTTCCTTCTTAGCTTCAGGCCTGAAAAGCAGTTGAACATTTGTTAAAACAATTGTCTACCCTTATTACTGGATTATCAAATTGTGCTTTTCTCATTTTGTACTAGAGGGTTTTTTTTTTGCAATGCAAATAATTTAAAAGGATTTCAGAAAAAAAAAAAAAGTGAAATTAACTAATTAACCTGATCAGACATTGGGGA